GGTTCTCTTTTGTGACTACTATTTGAAATGAAAACAGTATTTGGGTTGGAAATTAAAGGACAATCGTGATCTCGCAACTAAGGGAAATTGAACTGACCTGAGTGACCCGACACCCCAATACCTGGAATTGATTAGAAAGAAAAATCTAAGAAATTTCAGATTAAGCCCATTCGTAGAAAAGTGCGAGGGGATTAACGAGACCTTTAAAAGTTCCCAGTACTGACTGTTATGGGTTTGTTTATATTAAACAATCGGCCAAATACTTTGCACCAGGTGTCCACGTCACATTTTACTACATGCATTTCGTTCACCTTTCCCAGTAATAATTCGTGGTTCGTTTCTGATTTTTTAATAATGAGGCATATTGTGCTATTGTTCTAATACATACGAGAGATATTCAAAAAGGCAAGAAGGAGAAACAAGTTTTGAGGTAATAACAAGCCTATATTTTTATCAGGAAAATGTTATCATCATGCCAAATTTTAGCCTAATCCCAATGTGCCCAATGAATTGTTCTTGAGTGATTGAACCCCAAACAAACACACAAACTTTCATTTGTAATATTAGTATAGTAGCACTGTACTTCAACGTATGAATCAGGCCGTAGCTTGAAATAAACACTTAGGCCAGTTACATTTTTACCATCCAAATCTATTTACTTATTTAATACGCAAGCAGGATTTTTGTGACACTACTCCTCCGAAACTACTGAACCGATTGACATGTTTTTGGTGTCATTGGAAAAAGCGTAACGTGTAGTTGTGCAGGAAACTTTCTTTTTAGGGAAACAATTAGTGAGCGAGGCCCTGGGGCCCTTTAAAGTTTCGTATTTCTCCATAAGATTAACATGGGAAACAAACATTGTTATGAAACTACAGCTGTTGTCGGAAATGCTGTTCTGCTATTTAATTTAATTTGTTTACAAGGAGAATTGTTTATTGGTGCAATGTGGTCAATGAATTATACTTTTGCATATATTTTAAATGCTATACACTATATAAAATGATAGTACTGTAATACATTAACAGATCTTTATTTAAAAAAAATCAATAAGCAGGATTGAGCTTTTGCCTATATGTTTCCTGGTAAGTGTGTTGTAACTGTTTCTCATAGTACATTATAGTATCTTAAAGTAAAACCGAATTATTCTTTTCTGCATTCTCACCCCGTAGCGAAGCACGGGCAGAGCAACTAGTGTAATATTAATCCGCCAAACAGCGTTGATCAATTATTAAACGGAGGTAAATGGTACCAAAAGTCATTATCTTGCGAAAACCCCCTTTTTTACAAAAATCAGGTTAACAAAAATAAAGGACTTTGGCTTTGACTTTTTTCAGGTTATAATTCTAAGTCAAATTTGTATCTAATCGTATAATGAAACTGCTTGATGCGTAATTAATGTTCAAATGAATCAGTAATATTATTTTAACCTATGAATATACGATATACTGCACATAGTGAAAATTGTTTAGTCGAGGATACATTTACACATAAACATCATAATTGTTTAAATATTTAATTGGCCAACACGAATGTTGTGATTATTGTTTTGAAACTGCTACACATCCGATCCATGCATCCGATCATCAAGTTTAAGGTGTCGTTGGATAGGTCGTGACATGTAAATTTGCCATAAAACAAAACACATTTGAAATTCCATCAGGGCTCTGCCCCAGTGGCCTTCAGCCAATTGAAAGCGTCAATATACGTGATTCAATTTATTTCATATCACGGACGATTACTTGATATCAAACATTATAAATTACAAAATAAATGTAAAAATAAACGGTATCAGCATTCTGAAACATACTTTCTCCCATAAGCTTGTTAACATCCTATATCATGGGAAAGCGGCGATAGTAGGCCTATAGTTCAAAATCACAAAAGCTGAAATAACTGTTGGACCATAATTGTTACAGCAATGGGGTGTTGTACTATTTTTTTAAAACATCATTTGTTTATGTCTATAATCCATACCGGGTCTCTTCTAGTATTCGTGGTCTAATCACAGAATACCGATAATGGCGATAATTTCACCCAATTGAACCCATTTGAATTCAAGTGAATACAATTTTCTTTGCGTCTTGCTTTCGCAATCACCATTATATGGCACAAGACTATCCCTGACTATCGCCGGTTTAAATTTATAAAATGCATGCTTTTCACGCGTATGTTGCGTGCGCACGTGGTGGTAAGTGCGCATATAAACTTATATATTTATACGCCTAATGAAAAAAAAAATTGTTTATTCACTGGCAATTAAGTAAAATAAATATTCTATTTTTGTTTTTGATATACGTTTTTATCATCTCATATTAATACGCGAGAGCTGTGTTTTGTGAACACTACTCCTCCCTTATTTGTGGACAAATTTAAACGTTTAAGGTGTTTAAGAATTCGGACCAATTCGTAGTTTTGCATTAAGGTTTTAGAATTTAAAAGTTCCTACCCTTAAGGGCGTGAGACCTTTTCAAATGTCGGGTTTTCACCATGTTAATAATTGTATTACCTATCAATCTTTCTTCCGAAAATAAACTAAAATTTCCAGAAATGATATTTAAGAGTTAGGTACATTAACTTTCTCTAAATTAACTGAATCAAAGTACAATATATTTAATGCTACAGAATATAAATCCAACCGATTTACGACAAGAGTGCATGGTGGCGGGTTGTCAAGGTGGCACGTTGTCGCCTATGAGCGAGGTGGCGCGTTGACGGCACCGAACACTGGGCGTACACGTCAACCCGCCACCTCGTAAAAGAGTGGTGGCGGGTTGACGTGGTGGCACGTTGTCACCTACGTGCGAGGTGGCGGGTTGCCGACATCGAACATGGAGCTTCACGACAACCCGCCACCTCTGATAAAAACTGGTGTTGGCGGGTTATCGTGGTGGCATGTTGTCGTGGTGGCTCATTGACTTGAGTGTGTACGACAACCCACCACCTCGGAAAATTGTGTGGTGGTGGGTTGTCGTGGTGGCCTGTTGTCGAGGTGGCGGGTTGACCTGTACGTACACGTCAACCCACCACCTCGGTTTTTTTGTGGTGGCGGGTTGACGCCTCTGACCAAAACACCGAGGTGGCGGTTTGACGTGGTGGCGCATTGACAGCGACCCCCCATATGCAGCTGAGACCCGTTTCAAACCAGCAACATCGTTAAATTACATGGAATTTGATTACACCATAGATTAAAGGAGTAGACTACTGCTCATTTAATCTATTGTGACGGTCAGGCAGTTATTGACAGTATTTCTTAGTGTCATTATGGATAACAGCCCAAAGCACAGAATTGGATATTGCCGGTAATATTGGCAATCGTGTCGCAACTCCGCTAGCCAGCAGTGTCTTGCAATTTATTTGGGGTTTTGTTGAGTGTCACAAAGTATTGAGTACATCGATTGCTACATCACGTTCGGTTGTTTGGATCGTGGCATGGAATGCATGGCCTGATTGTTTTGCTGACATGAGGTGTAATCATTCTGTGTGACGTGTGGGACCGCCGAACCTGGGGTAGTCAATCAGAGTCGAGATCGAGGTGTCGGTGAGTCGCGGTGATGTACTACAGTACCTTTCCCTTCCCAGCGGTCGGGCATGTCCGTCTATTTTAATACTTTGATACTTTAAGTTCCCCGAACATGTTCAGTTTCAAATAGTTAAATCTAAATTATCTGTATTTTAAATTCATAGTAACTTATTACAAATCATATCCTGTAAATTTAACATATAAATTAAGTTCTGAATTCTACTCGGCATTCGATCTTTGAGTTTCTGCCCTTCCCGTGTGCGGTCGTTACACTATAACCAAATCCTATCCTTAAATATACCAGACAAAACTACAAAAGATATTTTCTACTGACTTCAACCTATTAGTTTTATTGTTTCTTAAATTTGTTTAAGAACTTCAGTATGAGCCATATGCTTTGAACAGTTTGCACGTAGACTACTTTCTTATCTAGTCGTCTGTTGTAACATCTACATCATGTTTTTACGTGCGTTTCGTGTTGGGGGATGTCTGTTTTAAATCCCTCAAAGTCCTCAGAGTTTTCCTGGGGAACTCCCTGATTTATCTAACCTATTAATTGGATGCAATAAACTATAAGCTGAATATGAACTGTTGTATGAATAATATATTTAACCCCCTGTATGCTTGCTTGCAAGTTTATAGCAGTGTAAAGGAAATAAAAAGGGAAAGGGGGTTTCTTTCGTACAACGCACGGTCCATTAAAAGTTGATACAGCTATAGTGATAAGATTAAATTACTTAGGAAATCCCGTCACAGCTCAATATTATGTCAATTTTGGACATGTTTCGGTGTTAAAACAACACCAGTCAGCGTCAGGTACTTATGTAGAGTTAATAAGTTTTTAACATAATCAAAAGCTACCACAGCAGTAAACATTTAAATGATTGACGTAATTTTATTGGTACCGTACCGTAATGTGTTTACCTTTTGACGAATTCAACATTATGATCAACTCTAAAAGTACCTACCTAAAGCTTACTATGGTTCTTTTATACCGAAACCTATTCTCAATTGTCATATTCTGTTGAGCGGTGTGATGGGAGACGGGGTAGCCGTGAGTCTTACATTGTGTCCAACAGCTCAGGGGTTACAACCATGGATTTTAAAGTGATTAATATACATGTAAAACAATTTTTTCCAAATAATTTATTTACAATAATGTTGCAGTTATTGTATTAGGTACAAAAATCTCAACTTTACTGTCAACATGTCGCTTAATCAATGTGGCTTATTATCTATTGCATGACATTTGTTGACTCTAATAGCTGAAAAAGAGTTTTTTGTCAGTTTGTCCTATTCAAAGATTTATCTTGTTACTTGCCACTCATGTATTTATTGATTGTAAAAACGGTGTTTACCGTTTGAATAAATAAATAAACATATAGTATGTTGTAGCGTAGCCCACAAGAAACAAAAAAGGTTCAACCCCTCCGTTTTGATTAAGATGGCAGTGGCAAATCTTCAGTTTTTACAAATGGCCTCCCGTGGGCTTGTGTGATTTTCGTTGAACGGTTTATTTACGTTTCGTGATTATTAAAATTTTCTTTGCTTTTGCATTAAATTATGGCTTCAAATCAACAGTTTTGTTTAAGATGGAACAATCATCAAAGTACTCTAATATCCGTGTTCGATCATTTACTGGAAAGTGGTACACTCGTGGATTGCACTCTAGCTGCTGAGGGTCAGTTTTTGAAGGCCCATAAAGTTGTTTTGTCGGCATGTAGTCCATATCTTGAGGTAATTATTGCTCATTTATAGTTAAAAATTACGCCATCGTATGCCTAGGGCATTAGCATACTTCCAAATATCAGAGCGGTTTGTCCAACCATGCCTTGCAACACAATAACATCCACATTCCTGAGTGTAGGTCAACAGCCTCTTCCACAAACAAAAGTAGGCTACCCTGAGGTTTCATACAAGAACCATTATAGAATGTAAATAAACAGACATATTAGTGACATCTAGTTCTCTGATTGATGAATCCAGGTCAACAAATGTTATTGTATGGATATGCCCCCATAACCTCTAAAGTTTGTTTTGTTTTGTTATCTTTAGCCTAGGCCAAACATGTTTGTGAGAATTTCAAAGTTGTTTTGCAATAACAGTTTAGTCAGTTAAACTTTCATGCAGAACTAACTTATAAAAGTTTTAAGAGCTAAGCCTAAGTAGGTATTTATAAGAAAGATCCAATATGCTACAAAATAGGCCTAAGCTGACTTATGCCATTAACTAATTTTGCCCAATATGCTTAATCTTGGGAGGTCCTAGAGAGAACCTATGCCAATAAGTTAACTTAAACCAATTTTTGATCCCAACCTTTTTGATCAGGGCTGCTTAAGTTTACACCCCACATTTACTCACGTAGGCTAGGCCTACAGCATGTTTGGTTAGTTTAGGACAGTTTCATTTTAAATCAGCCTAGGTAGGCTAGTAGTTGTCTAGGCCTAATCTAAGTTATAATAGTAAATGTGGGGGTAAACTAAAGTGTATTTATGATCAGGATTTGTTCATAACTCACATCTTACGGGAGGCCTCGAGTTAATGCACTGTTTAAATAACTTAACAATAAACTATGTAGCCCCAACTCCTAATCTAAATTCAATGCTAGGCCTATCCTAGATGACTCTACATACCTAAACTTAACTTCTTGTCCCTGAATGAATGGGTAGAAGTATTAAAACTAACTTTAGCAGCTTTTAAACGATTGCTGGAAGGTCTTGACAGCTGTAAACTTAGGATAACTTATTCACCAAGCACCTAAAAAAAGGTTAAAAGGTTATTTAACCTTTTTTTTAGTAGGCTAGGCCTAGGTACGTTGACTTATTGCTTAACATTTGGTAAACTTAGGCTAGGCCAACTAACTCAGCCCTACAGTTCATCCCCTTAATAGGCTAAAGGACATATTATTTCAAAGCTTTTATTTCTAGAAGTAGGCTATTTCAAAGACCTGAGACATATTCTAGCCGAAACGACTTGAAAAAGAAAACCAATGTTTTAAATAGGGTACCGGGTAACCTAAGTTTCAAAGATAGGAGGTTTCAACACAACATAGGAAATCACAGAAGAGCCGACTCATAAAAACGCCAAAAGAATGTTAGAAATGTTTGTAACTTAATGATTCAGATAGCCTTATGAAAAAGTTGCGCTACTGGTAATTTTTTACTCATTATCTTAATATCTAGGTTTTATAAGACTAGGCTAATAAGACTAAACCTTGTTCTTTCTAACATTGTTTTCTCTTTTGTGTTACAGGCTCTTCTAAGTCAACATTATGAAAAACATCCGATTTTGATCCTCAAAGATGTATCATTCCATGAGCTGAAGTCGATGCTCGATTACATGTATAGAGGGGAAGTTAACATATCACAAGAACAATTGGGCACCTTCCTTAAAGCAGCTGAATCCCTTCAGATCAAGGGACTTACTGATTGTGGAGCCATGAGTGAAAATCGGGATATGGAACGTTCGCGCGATATTGAACATGGTCTTTTACCAAGTGACTTTGCTCGAAATGATCGGTCCTTAACTTCAACTCTGCCTAAGAGAAACGATATCAGGAAACAAATTCCAATTCTACCTCGTCCTCGCTCACCTCTAGTCGGCCTTCCTGCTAACTTCATGATTAACGCTGACTGCCGGAAAGTTAACAGACATTCTTTACAAAAAGATGGTAATCTAGGAACGTCAAATGCAGTCCGTAACCGAGAAGGAAGCTTATCTCCTACAATTAAACGTAAAAGACCCTCATCTTATGTTTCACAAAATGATGATCCCAAAGTGCCAACTTCTCTTGAAAATAATGTAGAACAAAACCACCAACTTAAAAGTGACAAATTTCAAAATTCATCATCACATTCTCAAACCCTTTCAAATTCTACGTCAGTTTCATCCTCTATCGGTGTTTCGGATGCGAAGAAACCGTCGGAAAGTGAAAATTCAGTTGACAGTGAAGTGATAAAACGCGAAGTGAAAATGGAAAATGTGGAGTTTACTGATGAAGTACAAAATGAAGATAGTGTTGAAGATTTGACTGTGGATGAAGAAGAGGAGGAAATGGATGAAATGGATCTTTCCCAGCCTGGACCAAGCACTGCATCTAACAGTCTCGTTGCTGGTGAGTTTGTTTTCCTTTATTAAGCATAGGTAGACTAACTTCTTGGAGTTGGTTTGGATTTAGTCTTTTAACAGTTTAACATGTTGAGTACGGCCGTTCCCGATCGGGTATGATGCTTGGCCCCCGTAGGGTGCGTCTGTACCCGTTCGGGAACCCTCGGCAATGCCATCCGTAGGCTAGGCCTATGTCTTTGTTTTCGCTCTAGTGTCGGTCGAAGGCAGACCTATACCATGTTAGCGTGTACCTAGTGTGTAACTTGTTTTTTGTTGTCGTTTAGGTTGGTAGTAAATTTCCCCGTAAAATCTCCGTCTGCCAAGCCTAAAAATCAACTTGTTATTTCGCATTTCTCCCTCCAAATGGCAATAGGCCTACAATCACTATGGGTTCCAAAGTGCAGCTATCTGTGGGTGTTTAAGCGAACAACATCTACTCTCGTCGTAAAGCAGGACATCACTGTACGTTATTTGCTATTTGTCAGACCGAAATTTGAAAGCCAATCACACATGGCAATCTGGTGTGTTCGATGCTGCAGGCTGCGTCGCACTCGGGATACCGTACGCCTGCCATTTGATGTGACACAACTAGGGGTCTCAATCCCGGGATCCCGGCCGATTTTTGATACCTAGAAATCCCGGGATTGGTGACTTTTAATCCCGGGATCAACGGGATTGCAAATCCTATGTTTATTGATTTTTTTTGTGAATTTGAGGACTTTTTACTTGAGGAAAACAATTAAAAATAGTCCAATAACACTTGAAACACATATAGGCTACTCTTTATTTTTAGGACGATTATAATACCTAATGGTATAAGTAGGCCTAATGATCTTTTTGATTGGAAAATTTAATTATCATTAAAATCAATAGGCGAACGAATGTAGGCCTAAATATATGTTTAAGTTTTTAGACGATTTGGATTAGTTAGAACTTAATTACAGTAGGCCTACAAGTTATTTTTAGTTTTACTGTTGACATTAAATGTAAACAACGCAATGCGTGTAGCAAACATAACATTGTAATCGGAAATTTAAGTATTATTTTCATTGATGCCATAAAATATAACTATTAACACATGATTATAATCTCATTACAGTATTAAGATTGCTTATATTTAGGGTCTATAGCTTTATCTTCGTATTTGGTTATAAGTGTGGTGATTAAATTTCTACGTTTTTCATACACACGCTACTACTTAAGCAGATGGTTTATTGTTTTACAGTATCTTATATTTTTTTATTGCTGTCAGTCAAAATAACATTTTAACGCTGCTACTCGTGATTCTTCCCATTTTATCTTTTTCTCTTGGCTATCTTTAATCTATCTATTAGCGTGACGTATCTAGGCTACGTGCGAGTGCGGTTGCTCGTGATTTGTTTAAATGTATTTTTTATATTCTAGAGTGACATATCAACATTTATACACTGTAAATAAGAAATACGGGCGATGAAAGTTCAGCGTGGTAATATTTATTTACTTAGAAAACGGAAACATTGCGCAGTGTAACACTGGTAAGGCCAGATTTTTTTAAAACATTAGAGTACTCAACGAGGAGACTTCTCGCTCATTTAAATTGGCTAAAAATTTATAAATTTTAATATTATATACCTACCCGGGATCGGCTGAGACGAATCCCGAAATCCCGGGATTGTATTGAAGGCCCGGGATTGAGACCCCTAGACGCAACGAACGTGTTAAGGATATAGGCTACTGTAAATAGGTTTTGAATTGTCATTACGATGTGGAGATGATCATGATGATGTTACAGCTAATGTAGGCTTATGATACCTATATGATTGTGAATTATAGTCAGGATTTCGCTTTGTGATAAATGCCCTTAGACTAGGAAATTTACAAAAGCCAAGTGTGCTATCACACTTGTAAATAGGCCTATATATAGGCCTATGACCAAACATCCAAACATGGATTAAAGGGGGGGGAGGCATGGGTGAGCTCCCCCCTCCTGAGACCCAAGAGGCAGATGCGGTTTTTACAGAAAACCTGGCAATATATTATCGGATTAAGTATCAAAGCATGTACCGGTACATTGGTTTTGATTTGGTTTGATATCGCTTCTAAAATTTTTTCTTGCCTAATGTAACTTAACCATTGAATTAAGCTAGGCCTCCATGATCAGTTTTTTGTTTATTGAAGGTTGATAACTTAATTGAAACTATAAATAGGCCTACTTATCAATAGGTAGGCCTATATAGGCTAACTAGAAACTAAATATATTTAATGCACGTCAAACCAAACTAACAATAGGCCTACTTATCAATAGGTAGGCCTATATAACTAGAAACTAAATATATTTAATGAACGTCAAACCAAACAAACAATAGGCCTAACTAAAACAGCAATTAGGGTAAATACATAGTTAAACAAAAACAAAAATAAATAAAATAAATAACTTAGCTTAAAATAACCTACAATCCCAGAGGGAATAATTTGGTAATTTTGCTTTTAGAAAATGGAGAAATGGATCTTAATAAAGTCTGTAGAGGTATTCACATCTAGGTGATTCGAAAGATTAAAGATGGTGTAACTTAGACACCATTTTTTATTGACCTCTTTAAATTTAGAAAAAAACTTTAGAGGTACCGGTAAGTTATTGTAGGCTACAAATTTAGGATAAAATAAACAAACAACTTTAATGGGCCTCCCGTATTATTGTTGTTTTTATGGTATCATATGGTACAGGTATAAAATTAAATTTGAAATCAATTAACAAATTAAATTAATCAATGAAATTAAATTAAATTTAGCTGAATCAAAATCAAGTATAGGCCTAGGCCTACCTGGTTAAAATCTTCCCCAAACAATATTACTTTTTTCGCCCGGACGGAACTTGGCATTGGGTGGAGTGGGGTAAGTGGGGTCACGGGGCAAGTGAAGCCAGTGGCTACCTCGACCTTATAAGTGGTAAATTAAACAAAAATAGGCTACACCAAATTATGTTTATTTGGACCTTTATCTAATATATTCAACATAAACATTGAGTTTAACTGGACAAAAACTAGCCTAATTTTTTTTTTTACTTTATAAAAGAACCTTGCGTTTTGTTGCCAAATGGAAGTGCACTTGTCAAAGTTTGCAAAATTATTACCACTATATTACTGTCAAATTTTTAATCTCTTGTCATGGTCTGTAACTTTTGTATTTCTTTGCTCGTCGCTCAATTTCAATTTTAACTCTTGTATTATATTGACTGTATTAACTGAATTCCTTGTTATATATTTATACATTTATTTACTCAAGACTGAATACGAGATGTATTTAACAATATTTTGACCTATCTATGCATTACATATCTAAAAAATGATGAATTAATGTCTGATGTCTTATGTCTTATATGGAAAGTCCTAAACTCAAAGTTGTGAGTGTTTCTAGTAGTTTTTTATGTGTAGATTAAGCCTGTGTAATCCATTTTGCTCAAAAATGCTTGGTAAAAAAAATAAAGCCGTGGCCTCACTTACCCCAGCAATTTTTGATGTGGGGCAAGTGCAGCCACAGCCTCCGGGGTAAGAGCAGCTAGTAAAAATTGTTTTTATTTGTACTCTTTACAACTGTTTTATTTGTGTCATTAACAATTAAGTTTATTTAACAAAGACAGTAAGGTGTTTTTTAGTTGAAAAAGTGACTTTCAGTTAATTTTTATACAAAACATACGTTCCAAGTGTGAAATTTATGATTACGGTACAGTACACATTTTTTTTTATTAGGCTACAAAAAAATTGTAAGGCCTAACATCTAAGTTTTAATAATTAACAGCAACAAGGAGTTTTTAGTGAAAAATAATTAGCCTAGTGATTTTAAGTGGTTTTTTAGTTGAATTTTAAGGCTACAACCATGAGACTGGCGTTCCAAGTGTAGAATTTTGTTAACACAATGTAAACAATTAATAAAATGTAATAACAAATCATGTTTGTGCATAAAATCATAGACAAAAATAATTAAATTATAGACTGTCAGCCGTGCTGCGGTTACCATGGTTACCATAGGTTCCGGCGCACACCGCTGTAGTTTACGTAGTGCGTACGCCGTAAATACATGGCGCTCCAAGCGGTGTGCGCCAGAAGCTATGGTAACCGCAGCACAGCTGACGGTCTATAATTAATTCTTTTTGTCTATGATAAAATGTATAAGAAACCATGCAGAAGAGGTCAGACAATAATACTTATCATGTAAGTACAACAATTAGGTGTTATTTTATCAGTTATAGGAAAAAGTAATATATTTGAAATTTTTAAGATTTTCACGTTGCCGTGGTTTAGATCACAAAAAAGTTTGTAACTCATGAAAAAATAAAGATATTTCAATGATTTAAAAATTGCCAAACTCAGTGAAAAATGGGCTATAAGCTACTTGCCCCCATGTCTCTATGTGTGTCTTAAAGGGGAAATCCAGGCCCTGGCTGCACTTACCCCGAACACCTGGGGAAGTGCAGCCACTGAACATTGTCACAAAAAAAATTAGTCCATTTTCCCTAAATGAAGTAAAAAATAGCTTAGGTACCGTAAATGAAATAGATTTACTGTATCTAGCAAATATTATATTGAATGAATTATAAATTAAGTGGACCATTATTCCTTTGTGTATTGAGTCATGTAGCAAAAATCATGCATTTTAAGGGTAATGGAGAACAGAGTTATAGGTTAATAAATTACTTTGGAATTATACAGAAAAAATAGATAAATAATATATGTATAAAATAGGCCTATAATAGAATGGATGAATAAGAATTTCTTACATGCATGAATAATTTAAGTTTCTACGAATACCTAAGATACATTATTTGTCGAAGACGTCCAGTTCATGCTGTGCGGTGATCCTAATGGCATCGTCGTGTTCCTTGGGTTTGATGAGTATTTTCCCATTGGTGTAGCCGGCCTTATGGATCTTCCCCTCACGCTGCATCCTTCTCGCTCGTCCCAGGAGAGTCTTATTAAGAATGGTCAGCTGATCGTTGATGTAGACATCGCTTGGCACAAGACGTCCGTTGATATCCGTAGCATTTAGATTTTTCTTTTTTCTCGCAGCGATGAGCCACATCTCTTTGGTGCTCCTAGAAACAAACTGCGCAATGATAGGAGCGAACGTGTGATTTTTAGAGTACTGGCGCAGTCGATGGGCGATGGAAAAATCCTCTCTGTTGAAGTTAATTCCAAGGGCAGCGGCAATGTGTTGCAGAATGTCATATACATTTTCATTTGTAGTCGTAGGTATACCCAGAACCTCGATGTTGGCGCAGCGTGAATGCTGGTCAGCGTCGTTCTTACTAAGCTGCAGCGCGCGGACCTGCTTGACGAGCTTGTCGTTTGCTTGTTCCAACTCACTGCAGCGTTCCTGTAAAGCTGAATGGTTTTGCACCAAAGAAGAGACTTTGTTGTTAAATGTGTGAAGTTCTGCAGTTAAATTGTCAATTCTAGACATCACACTTCCTACAACAGAGTCGGTGTGCATTTGTATTTCTGTTTTAAATGAGTTTAGTATTTCTATCATACTGTTTTTGTCCAAAGCAGAACTCACGATTGTCTGTTGTGAAGCAGATGAACCTGACGCAGATGCACATTTTTCACACTTCCACTGTTTAATTTTAGACTTTGTAAAGTTTCGATGGGATCCAAACTGCGTGCACGCTGGATGATATCCTGTCTTACACTCAACACATTTCACTGACAAGTCACTTTGCACAACGTCACTTCCACACTGTCCACACTTAGATACCATAATTATAGATTATAAATAATAAAAATAATAAAATTCTCCATTGTCTTTCTTGCATGCGGAACAAAACCAAGTAACTATATCACAAAGGCTCACAATACGCTCATAACTTTCCATAACTTAATACAGTGAATGTGAAACCAATTTTTATATTTTCCTTCACATTGCAGGGCATGGTCATTATTATTAATGATATTGTAGCAGACGCCACATAGACAGGTATCCTCATCTGCCGCCATCTTGATGACGAATTTAACAAAAATAATATAACAAAAATATGTTTCTCAAAATCTACATTATAGGCCTACAGCTAATTTTTAGAGATATTATTAGAGATACAACCTCGGACCTAATAACCATTATTGTAGTCCACATTTTTAGGATTAGGTGTACAATGACGTTTTATCCGATGATCCTATCTTTTACCATTTTCGAGATATCATCGTTTTAACGCATTATTCCCCCGCTATGTTTGCCCCCTCTCCCACACCTTATCGACCACTTTTGAAATAGGCGACATACGTAATTTTTTCACCACAGTTCATTACAAAAATCAGCAATAATATTGCGTACTACTTTCATGCATGCTCAAACCCCCTAACTCCTGGATTATATGATCGCTGGTGTTTTCATGATTGCGGTGGGAAGGTGTTCAAGTATTGCTGTGTCTGTGAAAGATGTTTACAATTTTTTTCTTGATAGGCCTATCTAAGTTACTATAGTGGCATTTTTAGACAAAGCAGAACTACGGGCGAAATTGCGACATTATCGCTTAAAGACGCCAAATGCTGCAGAAAGCCTAGTAGTCAGGTTGGGTAGCAGGAAAATATTTCAGTTCTGGCAGACAGGCTGCAATTTTAGGTGGTTACAGTATTGATACAAGTTTCTGAACCTAAAACCGCCCAGACCCCAATTTTTAAGGACCTCGATCGTCCGTAATGACGTCATCAAAATGGCGGCCGTAAGAGGATGTTGAGTCCCCATGAATTGGCTATAACGACCGAATGCCTGAACCGATTTTCATGAAATTTGGCACACAAGTGCTTGAATACATTATCTCGGCCTGGGTTGAAAATGGTCAAGTTTCATCAAGTCATTTCAAAATGGCGTCCATTCAAAACTAAAAAAATTATGAGGAAAATAATTGTGAATTGTTTTATACAGGGTGAGTTTTAAATGAGTTCCCCTCCCTACTTTTTTATACATTTCTTAAGATATCAACTCCGAACCTCGTCAGATAATTGTAGTGTAGCGATTACTTCATTTCGACTAGTTTTTATTTTATCCGTTTTTTGTTATCAAGCTTTCTTGATAAAATATAACAATTATTTTGATTTAAAATGTCAATATTTCAAAAACCAAACATGACAATGAAAAACAGATTGCGGCATTGAATTCAACATAAAAAAGTAGTTCAAAATGATGGGTCACAACACCCCCTTCATATTTATAGTTATTTGTGCAACTATTGAGAAAAGTGAGCAATTGACTCACTCGAGAGAAATCCTTACTCACGAGCCGTAGGCGAGTGAGGAATGGTTTCTCGAGTGAGGCAATTGTACTTTGAACTCGAGTTGCACATTATACTTTTCCTACAGTTACCATAAAACAAAAACATTTGTGAAGAAACATAACCTATTTTTTACACAGAAGTGAACTTTTAATATAACATTTAATGTGAAGTGACAAATACAACAGTACAAAAGCTGACCAGCTGATTTACAGCCAGTGCTGCCAACGTATTTCGCGCGCATACGACGTTGCCTGCATGTTACGCGCTCACTATTTTGTGCCTTCACGTTGCAAATCTGGAGTGAGACAAAGTAATTAGAGTGAGACAATGTTAACATTGTCTCACTGGTGAGCGAATTGGCCACTTTGCTTTCTCAAATCAGTGAGAGAACATGTACATTGTTAGGTAACTGTAGGAAAAAATAATTTATCACATTTCAAAATGGCGGATCCAAGATGGCGGCTGAAAAAAATACATCCGTCATAACCGAGTGAAAATAGGTCAACAGTGAATGGTGGTGTCCACTTATCTTTATCTAGCACTATTTTGAGATTATGGCCTTAGTTTGTAAATGCACAATGTTATAATGGACTAAAAATAAAGTTATAAAAAGTTCTCATAACTTTAGAATGGATCAACATTTTTTTAAACCGATTGCAGCATTGCATTCAGCGTAAAGGTTTTGTTTGAAACGGTGGGTCACAAGCATATCTTTACATTTGAAAAAATATTTTTGTATCCAAAATGGCGGATCCAAGATGGCGGCCAAAAATGTTAACCCAGTCAAAATGAAGTACTTGCTACTCTACAATGATCTGACATGGTTCAAAGTTGATATCTTAAGAAATGTATAAAAAAGTAGGGGGGGAACTCTTTTAAAACTCACCCTGTATAAAACAATTCACAATTATTTTCCTCAGTTTAGTTTTTTTAGTTTTGAATAGCCGCCATTTTGAAATGACTTGATGAAACTTGACCATTTTCAACCCAGGCCGAGATAATGTATTCAAGCACTTGTGTGCCAAATTTCATGAAAATCGGTTCAGGCATTCGGTCGTTATAGCCAATTCATGGGGACCCAGCATCCTCTTACGGCCGCCATTTTGATGACATCATTACGGACGACCGAGGTCATTAAAAATTGGGGTCTGGGCGGTTTTAGGTTCAGAAACTTGTATACTATGACCACCTAAAATTGCAGCCTGTCTGCCAGAACTGAAATATTCTGCCACTATATGCAGCTATACGACCCCACTATAGCTTGCCCAACTGGTTTTTTCTTTTATATATTATAGAGCATGCATGCATTATTGGGCTGTATATTTTTTTTATTAAAAATTAAGTTAGCCTACTTAGGCCTATTTTTACAAAATTAGGGCCACATGGCTCTTTCTTTTAACCTGTAGGCCTATACAAGTTTTCTGCAGAGTTAACCCTAATAAAATTTCATGGTGGGTAAGCCACTGGATCGTAAATTGCAATATAAAAGTGGTTTATGTAACCTTTTTGCGTCAAACGATCCGTGTGTAGTTAGTGCTAGATGCGTGAACATCTCTTCATCGTGGCGCCATCGTGAACATTTCCAGCCATCGCCGTTATCATTGCCACTCATGACGCTGCAGAATCGCTGATGGTTGGAGCAAATCCTTTCCCGCGAAAATCCCAAATTAAATGTAATTCCCTCTTAAAGATGAAAAATATATCTTCCCTGAAAATTTCATTAAATTATGAAACCCATCTGTCTCTTGCCTATTTCATATAGCCTAATAAAATTTTCTTTTCATTGATGGAAAACACGTTTAAAACTAATCTCAAGAACTTCTGATAATTATTTGCAATTCATATCTAAACCATTTTGTAGAGCTAAAAAAAATTAATATCCAGAAGCGTTGTTGTAAGAACGGTTACAGGGGAAATTCCAAATAATTGAAAATTTTAAATTCTCTCGTTATTCTTGAGTTAAATAAATTGTTGTAGTTTGCTAGTTGTTTGATTTAATTTGGCAAATTCATTTATTTCATACTACGCTATCAACAATTCTTTAAAAAAAAATACCTCATTACCTTCCATGTTTCCCTACCCTACTCATTAAAATTAATGTTTTTAAAAAGGAAATAAATCTGACTATTTTAGAGGGATATTTTGTGAAAATGGAAATTTGCTTAGTCTACTGGTTTCCCGTGGCGGAGGTATCTCTCTTTTCCCCACTCACATAATATGATAAAGAGAGGGAGTCGTGTCACTGGTATCAGATTTTCCCCCAGCTTGCTTGGCTTATTTATGAACAACCCTTGTTAGAAGTGGTTTTTAATCGTGAGGTTTGACTGTTGTTTTCTGTTCGCAGCTGTCCCGTGGCACAACGCCGGGGAAGGTAACAGTGAGGACGGACTGTTAGCTTCTCAGCACGACTCACAAGGTAGGACCACATTCTCTATATCTTGTAGGGTACACAAAACTAACCTCTCCTCTTCCACCCTCCAGTGCTGAAGTGAAGTGATCAGTGACAAGTGATCAAAGTGATGAAGAAACAGAAGACCAAGTGAAGTGTTGAGTTAAACCAGTGGTGGAATTTATTGTTTGCAGATGAGGTTAGATTGCTTTGGGACTTTTTCAACTATATTAACAGATCAGAAAAAATATTAACATTAAAGAAATTTTACAAAATTTTTTGTGTTGGTTCACTCAGAATATAGTTGTTTCTTGGATTAATTGTAAAAATATTACATATAAGCCATCCTTAGTAAAAGTCACCTGTACAAAGGAAATAAAATGTCTTTAATTGAAGTTCCCCATAGAGAAGAAGCCACCCCAGAGGTTGAATCAGTATTTTTTCAAATTTGAAGGTGAATACATATCAATATCAGTTTTTTTTATGGGATGGACACAAATCTGAAAAATGCGTTCTTTAGAACTGCTGTATGAAATTGTTAATCATTCTTTTTGGAAACAAAACTTATAACTTATTTTGATCTGATGTTGATGAAATTTGCCATGAATCTATAGGGCTGGTTAAACTTGATAAAGTTTGCGAACCAGCAAGATCGGGTGATGATGGGAACAGGGTGTTATGGGGTGTTTTAAATTAAATATTTTAGTAAACCAGACGAATGGAAAACTGCTTAGCTGCAGATTTGTGTTAATGTGTGGTGTTTTTTGTTTCCATGTCACAAACAGGCCTAGGTATTACAAACATTCTTAAATTTTTATTAATGTAAAATAAGTTACCAGCAGATCAATCTTTTAACCACAACTGATATGTCAGAATGGACTAACCATGGTTAACTACATTAACTTTTTTATGATGACCCAGAGACCAATAGAAAGAAGCATTGTATAGTTTTTTTTTCCTAGGACGCTAGGTACAAGTCCGGAAATGTTTTTCACATTACTTCAAACTAGACCTAGGGGTTGCAGCATTGTCACATAGATAAAATCCATTGATGATTTGGCGGGATTTAAACCCGGCACCTCTGGAACCGAAGTCCCGCACTCTAAACGGCATGGTATAAATGAAAGAACTGCAATCATAGACAAGTTAACTTGCCAAGGGGCTTGGACTGTGTCTTAAGCCACTACTGTTCACTGGTGTGGCTGGTTCCTTATCACCACCATTAGATTTTATTCCTACACTTGTTACAAATAAAAATGTGTTTATGTCAACTGATATTTGCGTTACATCCGTAGCTATCAAGTGAATGTAAATTTTAGAGAAACCACACAATGCATTTTAATATAAAAGAAATATACTTTTCACAATTGGGCTCCTTGATCCTAGTTTGAGTTCTTTTGAAAGGAAGTTATCATTCAGCTGTCTCAAAACCTGCGAACAATGAACTCATAAATGGACCCAATAATTAGGTCTACGTTTACTTGATCACACCTATATGAATTAGTAGTTTGTCAATTAAGTTTTTTCATATATATTTTTTTAATGTGATAATTCTAGTCTAAAACTGGAAAAGAAACTTTCCATCTGCAGGCAATAAATTATTTTCTACCATTGAATTGCGTGATTGTTAAAAGTGTTTGTGATTTTCAATAAGAGTTTCAGATAAAAGTGATTAACCACATTCCTTTCCTTTTTCCTTTTCCTCGGTTTGTTTTGAGTGCCCTACATTGCATGTTGGATTATTTTGGATGATGTGTCATAACACGGAGCAATCAAGTAATGGAAAGCCGTAATATATTTTAGATTCTAACAGAACTAAAACAAATTTGTGAAACAAAATGTTTTTGATTATTAGAGGGACAGTCAAAATTTATGATTTTATTTAGCCTAGTTTATTAACAGCATTGCTGTCTTTTGCCAATCCACAAATCAATAAACTACTCGTTCTAATGAAAAATGAGACGTTCTAATTGCTGTGATTATTTAGTAATCCTGAATGATATCTTTTATAACCTTTGGAAAGACCATTGTTGAGATCACTGCATTGTAATGTTTGAAAAATAAAGCTGTTGGTAATATTTAGTTAGGTATTGTTTCAGAAGATATAGGTTAGGATTTATTTGCGGACATGGACCTGCAATTAATCCTGGTTTTGTTTAAAGAATATTACTCCTTAATTTAGCTTAGTACATGTTATTAAATTTATGGAGATTAAATAGAAATATATCTGAAACATTTAAATCATATTTACAATCATCCTGTTTAATTACAAGTTGGTAAATTACATTGTAGATGGTAAGTGGCAATTGATTTTGATTGGAGGCTCCATCATCATCAGACCCAATAGGTGAATGTCATATTGGTATATTGGTTTGATGATTGGATTGTCCAATCTAAATTGATCACCACTTGGGACCATCTTTTATTTTTACCGTCTTGTAAGTAAACAGTAGGCATATACAAGTAAATTGTTTTAAATGATATATAGACAACTGTATTTACTTTCTGTAAATAATATTAATGTCTTATACTTTAGACGAAGTACAGTGAAATGTTAGTAATTCAACCTCTTAAGGCTTTATAAGAATCAGTTAGGCAAATCCCAGCAATTATTCTGAGACTCTTTTGTTGTGCCATTTGATAATTTTCCTACAAAATAAACGTTATACTGTAAAATCAATTTAGGATAATCACAATTCAACCATATTTGTTTACTATTGATTTCCAACGTATGACACAGCATCTGTATGTAACCGTAGTGTAGCGTTTGTGTTTTGCTTGTTGTGCTTGCCTACTTCTACTACTGTCTGCATGTTGGTGTTTGGTTTGCCTGTTGCTAACATACTGTAGGCCTACTGTGTCCTTTCACTCTTGTCCTCTTGAAATGGATTCCTGTACAATAATTTGCTTCGGATCGACACTTCGGATCACTTCATTCATCATTTGTCCACTTATTTCCAGTATTGATACTGTATGGATTCCGGAAGTAAGTATTTATTTTGTAAGATTTACTGGTAGGTTGTCTAAAATTATGGTTTTCATCGATGATTGTAATCAATTTTTATTTTATTTAAATTATATTCAAGTTTAATTAAACATAGACGCGAATGTTTAAAGTTTGAAGAGTTCTGGTAATCTTATTACAAAAAAGATGGTTGCCACCATTTTAAAGTTATAAAATGAGTTTCATACACTGTTAATGACTTTATTTTGTAACTTAGATTTTTTTAGCTTATAATGCTGAGTCACCATGTTTAGGCCTACACCGTAATTTGTACTTAAATCTATTTGTATTTTTAACACCAACCGTTGGGAAAAAATTATTTGGGCTTTCACATTTAGGTAAACTTATATATAACTAATTAATTATTATTATTAATTGATATCCCAACCAATAATATAATTCATGACCGATAGAAAATATTTAAAAATATGGTAAATATATAATTTTGTTTTGTAAGTTATAAATACTGATTGAATAATGCGAGAGTTCTTCAAATTTATATTCTCAATAATTATCACAGAGTAATCAAGATAGTGAAAACGTTGTCTGATTTTGTTAGTAATCTGATTTAGTCAATCATTTTGTGAGAACTTGAACAGTTTAAATATTGTTTAACTTTATAAGTATTTTGAGTTTTCGTGAAAAACCGCAAAAGAGATGGCTCTAGTTCCTACAATTGTAAGGTAAGTGCATTTTCTTCATCCAATACAGTATTTTTATCCGTAGGCTTATAAAGCTAAATAGCTTAATTTAAGCTAAAATTAATACCAATTTTGGTTTGTATCTCATTATGTTTAATTCATTTTGAGTTAATACGTACAAAAACCAATAGTCTCATGTTAGATAACTTAAACATATTTTAGCAATTTTACGTTTGATATGAAAAAATTAGATTTTCTTGTTACAATGCAATCTCTTGTATCAATTATTTAACAGATTAAGCCTATGTAGTTTTAAAAATAAGTGTTAGTCTTTACATTGTAATGCTTAATTTTATGTGAATTTAAAAGATCAACGATTAAATGATTAGTTAAAATTGTTATTTTTTTTAGAAGGTGTAGATTAGAATAAAAAAAATCTTGTTACATAGGCTACCTACTTTAAGTGACAACTAATACATACATATAGGCCACTGTTATTCCATTATGGCTACTGTAACCTTAAATAATAAGGCAATCAGTTATTCCAATGAATGTTTCTTAGGTTGTAATTTTAATTAGAGTAGGGTAATTAATATCTATTTTTGAAATTATTTAGCCTAAAATATTTAGTTTAAAGTTTTGTGTGAAAAAATACTAGGTAGGCGCCTGATAGCTTTTAAATTTTGAATTGTTATTTTCATCTAATTACATAGAAGTTTTTACAAAATTTGAATGGTAGTGGGCTGAAAGAAATGCCAATAATAATTAGATTTAGCTATAATTAAGAATATACCTTTAGCTGTACAGAAGTTTTTGTAGATAATAAAATACTGTTTTTTTCCTTGTTACAAAATTGAAGTGGCTTTAGAAGTAATATTGAACTTAGTGAACCAAAATATTGAACACGTATAGAGTACAAATTAAAAGCGTTCATTACGCACTTTGATTTATAAATGTCCTTAAGCATTTGGTCTGCAGGCCTATTTTTATTATTTGTCCCTGTTCATCAGGTAAGTATGTATACTCACATTTTCCTGCGTCTTTTTGTTTTGCAGGAAAATACAATTTAATCTAATGTTACCAGTTCAAGTTAAAATGTAAATAAATAAGATAGAATTTTTAAATATTGGTCCAACAAACAAAGAATATTAAACAGCAGGAAAAGATCTTGTTTGCCACATTACGCAAGTACACAGTAAGCAGCTGGCTTATGGACTTTTGGACAAGAAAGTCATTGTTTAAAGAAAGGGTTCTATATAATCAGCTGGAGTCCCCATTTACCGAGCCCTATGGGTCACTTTTAACGGCATTATATGATGAGTTTCTTTAGCATAAATAATAAATTACAGGTTTTGCCAGGTACATTGCAATTTTTTACAATA